CTCTCTCTCTCTATATATATATATATATATATATATATATAATGAAATGTTGCAGCAGAATGAAATGAGCCAACCCATCAAAATCAATGTGTGCCCCTGTGTTCCTCTTGCTACAAAATCAGTATGAGCTATGAGGTGTAAATGTAAATAGGTTAAGGGGTAGCTAGAAGTTGGAAGAGGAATGACTGGTGTAAAACCAGCTATATTTTATTTCCAATCATAAAGGTCCACTTCTATTAGTTTCAACTATACATGTAAATATAATTTATATTTGATCATGTGCTGGCACATCCCTTTTCCCATTCAAAATACCTAAATGGAAGATGGGTTGTCCAGTAAAGAGCATCCATCTAATGGTCAGAAAGTAAGTCTGCTCCTAGTTCCTGGATACAGAAACAAAATAACAGTTTAGCTCCTTGGTTAGTTCCATGCTTTCCAAAGAGAATGGAAAACCTTTTAGCCAACAATCCACAACTGTCTGTAAAAGAACTAGCCCTCAACTGCTGCCACATACCACTACCTGAAAGTTGTGTACTAATAACAACTGATCTGAGTTTTAAACACATGACTTTGGATTGGGTGCCATGCCAGGTTTGTTTCCAAATCTTACTCTTTCATGGGCCATTTTTAACTACTCTTTCGTTCTTTTGCCCTTTGTTTCTTTAGTTGATTGCAATGCACCGTACACTTTTACACTTTACAGGAAATAATAGGTATCCATCTGCTTTTTGTTTTTAACATTTCTTTTGGAACCACCAGTCTCCCCTACCAGACCAGACCCTCAGCCAATAAAGAAAACGGGGATAGGACTGTTTTGCCATCCCCGGCCAATAATGCTATGACATGTGGAAAAGGTAGGGGATAGCAAAATAGCGGTATCCTCGTTTCATGAAAGTCTTTCTCCAGCTAGTGAGCTTGCTAAATGAATGATATTTACCAAAATTTTGATTAACCTACCTTCAACTTCAACTGGTTTTGGACATAAAATCATATTTAAACTCATCCTTTTAAAAACAGCTGTAATAAAAGCGCTTAAAAGATGTGAATTGACTAGTCTTTTGCTGGACAGTGGGAGAGGGGTACAGATTAGTGAAGCCTACCGTACCAACTACCAAACAAATAACCGACTTGATCAGAAAGATTGGTGGATGATATGATATTAGAATATGTGGCTGGGGGATAAGCATTAACCAGTTTTGGCCTTGAGTTTAATTATTGAACCCAGTCTCCTTGGATATGTTGTTGTGGATAAAAAGGAAAATAATTAAGATCCAAGGAGAACAAGTAAGATTTATATATGTGTGGCTGGCTTGATTTCCCAAACAAACCAGCTTTCTGCCAATTCGAAAAGTTTCATTTTGGTCCATAAATAAACAAAACCAAACTGGTCATGGCCGCTTTAGATATTTTCTTCTGTGCATACACATGTACATGTATAGATAAATAGCATTTAGTTGGTGACATCAAAAAAAATACATGAACAAAAAAAACAGTAGTTATTAGCATGTTCTAGAGTGCAGTGCTGCCATGGGCTGTCATCTTAGTAGTTTGACAGATCCTATCATCCACACACACACACACACACACAAAAAAAACAAAAAACAAAAAAATCTTTGAAAACCCCGTTAATCTAAGAATTTGTGTGGCAAACGTTCTTGATTTTTTTACACCTCAAATATCCAAACTTTGATGCATGACATAATCATCTTAACAGAATCGTGAACTTCAGAGCAAACACCACTTTCAAAGCAAAACAAAGAGACAAAAAGATTGAGAATCTGCCTGCCTATGCCTGATTTTTTCTGCTCAAATATAATGAAGTGCCAAAAGAGGCAATTTGAAGATCAAATAGTAAAACAAAAGACCACATAACAAGATCCACACAAAGCCAACTTGAAAATTGTGAGAACAAAGTTCTCCCTATTCACATCACTACCTCAATTTTTTTTCTTTTTTCTTTTTTCTCTCATCTTTATTCTCTCAAAGCCCCAGGTCATGATCAAAAAACCAAAACCTTTGCACTCCCAACTCCTAATAATACATCTTCTAGGCCATGGTCTCCAAGTGTTCCCTGAAAACTTTTAACATGCCAGAAAAAGTGACAATTCCCACCAAGCTACAATCATCCTCAATAACCCACACATAGTTCGCTCTGTGAGCAATTGCTTGAATCATCACAGCTACCAATGAGCTCTTGGGATGGCAAACTATGGCCTCAGCCCTCCTCACCATTCTAGCTGAGTAGCTACTGGACCTACTGTATCTACCAGACCTTGGCTGCAAAGTGGTATTTGGAGACACAGAAGACTCTTCATCTGATGAAGAAGACATCAAAGAATGTGCATAAGAACTTGATGAAGTTAATGTGTAATTTTCCAACACCCCTTGTAGCTTTCTCTCCTTCAATCTCTCCATCACAACCCTAACCAAGTGCTCAGGGGGTCCACCACAATCAATGTAGGACATGAGGTCTCCAGCTGAGAGAGTGGTGATGGCTGCAGCCACTGACTCATCACAGCAGGCAAGGGTGAAGGGTGAGATCTCACCAATCAAGACCCCCTCGGAGTCTACCACAGCCACAGAGGTCTGCTGAGAAAGTGATTGGGATATGAGCTGCAGGGCTGAGTTTGCTGAGGAGTGGTAGTTGATGGCTAAGATGTCAGTGCTGATAATGCCAAGAGAGTCTATGGAGAAAGCTGGGATGGGAGAGAAGAGGCCAATTGAGCTGAGGAGAAATCGGACTACATCTTCTTGTGTCAGCCAGCAGAACTCTTGGCCATTGTGGAAGGTGGTGGTGGTGCTTTTTGGGTGTTGTTTTCTTCTTGAACTGCTGCTTAGCCTGGTTCTTATTGGTACTACCAAGTTCTGGACTCCCTGGACGATCAGATCAATGGCTGCTAGTAGGCTGAAAGACACAGAACACAGAGGGAGAGTCAGTATCGGTTTGTGTGAAACAGAGTTAAAGTAGAAAGCTTTGGTATTTGGCTGAATTAGTCTCCAATTGACAAAAAAAACAAAAAACAGATGAGAAATTGGTATGATTTGAGAACTTTTTAAAACACATTCAGAAGTACACATCAGTTGGAATTTTAACCAAAATTTGCCTGTAATTTAAGAGAATGAGATTGGAGACAATAGAAACAAATCTTACAAAAACTTGTGACATTTTGGACTAAATGAAAACTCAACAGAACTTAAAAAATTAAGAAAACCCAGGTAACAATTTCATCAAAAAATAAAGATTAAACCCAAAAAATTGAGAAAAACAAGAACTTTCAAGACAAGGGTTTGGTTTTCAGTACCTGCAAGAGGGTTCCACATGCATCACTTGGCCAGGAATCTTAGACAAAATTGCAGAGACAGGTGCCTTGAGAGCAGCAGATGGAGACACCAAGTTGTCATCTTTACAGAGATAGCAGATGACATCAACCATGCAGACCTTGCCAACACAGCGGCACAGCTGGCCAGCGTCTAGAGATCTGGTAGTCTTGGAGTGGTTGCAGTCCCAGACACTGATGAAGTTTTCCTCACATGTCTTCAAGGCCTCTAAGGCATCAGCAACTGTGGCGGAGGCAGAGAGGGACCTCAGGGCCGGCTTGGCTAGACAGAGGTCAGATACCTCGTACCTCAAGAAGCTCACTGCCATGCAAGAACTAGTTGACAATGGCGATGATGAGGAGGAGGAGGAGGAGGAGGAGGAGGAAGAGGATGGATTGAAGGAAGGAGCTCTGTAGGTTGCGAAAAAGCAGAGCTTTTTATTGTGGTGGTGGTGATGTTGAGGAGTTTTAGAGTATAGTGGATACAAAGAGTTGGGGGGTATTTATGCGAGAACTTCTCATGGGTTTGGGGGAAGATAATTTGGAAAATGTTGGGGGCATGGACCGTTTGGTATAAAGGTACCAAAACAGCGTGGGGTCCATTTTTTCGATTTTTTTATAACAGAAATAAATTAAAATTCTCACATATATTATAACACGTATACAAATTATTAACATACAAATCCTAGGGAGTACAGGTGCTTCTTGTCTGTCGAATTAGAGTTTTTAGGTTTTTTTGGCATGCGTAATTCTTTCTAGATCAAACCAATTTATTTTTGTGTTTGATCACTGAAGATGTTGTACTCATATTTAGCATTGCGACTATTCTGTCGTATTGTATCAATGTTGAATAGAGAAAATGACGACTAAGGACAGACTATTTTTACTTTATAACAAATTATCGCCCATGATATTTGAATTTGTTAACTTATTTATTAAAGCTGAGGTTATATATCACTAAACCAAATGAGATAAATTATTTTAGGATTTGTTTAACTCTTTACATATATAGAGGACAACAGATTACAGTATGATACATATACAAATAAAATATATATATATATCACTGTGATTTCTTTGCAAATATGAATGCCTTCTTACCAAACATGTAAAGGAGCCAAATATTTTCCTTATTTTAGATTGTAGGGTATGTTGATTGCACCACAAACTTTTCTCATCTTTTTAACAGAGTGGACCTAAAAAAATATTCCTAAATCCTAACCTTACTATCATTACTAGAGGTGCCGTTGACACGGCCGGGCCACCAAGTCAGTAAGAAAAAAATAATTTATCCTCGTTCATATTCTTTTCTTAGTATGTGAGGTGAGTTTCTTTTTTGTATTTACTAATTGTCCTGTTGTACATTACAGATGGTGGGTTAAATCTATATCATTGTGCACATTACGACATGTTTCTGTATTACATTATTGCAAGTACAACTGTGTGAAGAAAATATTGTTTCCTCTTATCTGTCCATTTCTGTATGTAATGAGTGTTGAAGAATACACGAGTCCCATATCGGAAACTTAACAAAATAGAAAGTCTCATATAATAAATGGTTTCACTCCTAATAACATCGAGACCTTTTGTATAAAATCTTACACCTGCTAAACAGGTGATTAAGTTGAGGACAATATCGATGTTGCCAGTGGTAAGTCAAGGGTCTGTCCCTCTGAAATCTTAACAATGAATAATTTCTTTTCCTCGTAAGAAAATTGGAGGAGATTCTAAAACTCTTATTCAAATTTTGAAAACCAGAGTACTACTTCTTGGAAAATGATTTCCATTGTTCAAGTTCAAGATCTTTGTTTTCTTCTCCAACAAAATACCCACGGCTCACTTATGCTATAATTTCAGAGAGACAAATATGATAGCGGATCATTTAGTTAATATTGGTCATTCACTTTTACATTCTTGTGTTGGGTTCAATAATTTTCATTTTTCAACTGTTTATTGTTTAAAATTTGAATTTTTTGGTTTTTAGACCTGAAAAGTATCTTCATTGTAATTTACTTTGGACCTTGAAAAAAAACGATGGATTCCTCACCTAGACAAAAATTCTAGCCAATCTCTCCCTCAAAGAGTCTTAAAGGAAAACTCCAAAGAGGGAGGAGGAGGAAAAAGTGTCACTGCCTCTCCTCCCCCTCCTCTCTTCACATCTTTTCCTTTTAAGTTAGTGAATAAATTCATTGGGGCGTTTTGAATAAAAAACTCATTGTGGTGATTTCTTCTAAGTCATGCTTAGATTGAAGTTCCCCATAACCCCTTTTAGTCTATGTTCTCAGTCAAATCTTTCTCCCAAAATCCGATCCCTAACGCCGCTCATGTTTTCTAAATTTGATTATACATTGTCTTTGACGGAGGTTGCTGCAGATCACCCAATTATTCTTTGTCAAGGTTGTTGTTTTCGTTTATTTATTCACTCTTATGTGCAAATAGATTGCTGGAAATCATATTTTCCCCAGATCTATTTCAGATGCTGTGGTAGGTATGACCACGACGACTCTTCTTCAGGTGGTGGTGATAAGGTTCGTTTAGGCTCATAGGTTGTTTTAGGATTTTAGTTATATTGGGTTTGTGGGCTTTGTTTGGATTTATAGTTAATTGTGATGATGTGGATTAGTAGTTTTAATTTGGCTTTTGTTCCTGTTAGTTTTAATGAAGTTTATCTTTAAAAAAATATAATATAATATAATACTTTGTACCTCGAAAGAAAAAAAAACTGCAACAAATTAAATTTTGAGCAAGTAGACTGTGAATGGGTACATTTGTAAATGGCATAAATTCTTAATGAGTTTAAAAAGAAGAAAGGGTATATATAGTCTCCTTAAGTTTAATTACTTGCAAAGTCAAATCACCATTTCTGTCAACTAATTTTCAGTAATTAGTATAGTATAAACTGCATGAGTGTATAATAAAATGTCAGAGACATTACCTGTGAATACTGACATGCTGTAGTGGATATATAATTAATTCAATAAGGTGAGAAGGGGTTTAAAAAACTGCAAATAATACTTAATTATAGTTAAAGCAACGATTTGAAATATAATAATAATAGTAATAGTTAAACCAAAAACAAAGTCATGTGGTCAGGTGCCTTATAACTAATTCAACTGCTAAATTGTGCATGGATTAATTACATACATGATCTACAACTAATTTGATTGTATACACATTATATATAATTTTAAAAAAATTAGTACAAGCGATAGTTTAAATTATAAGGAAATAGGAATTTCTCACACACACGCTAGCAGGGTGTCATAGGAGTTTAAATTTGAGACTACTGATCCACAAATTAATGCCATAATCTACTTGGTTAGACCTCACTGACTTGATTGTATATATTTTGATTGAGAGCTGCGGAGGCATACATGGCGAAGCCACTGGGTAAGTCCTATAAGTAGGTTTATACTTTATAATATAAATCATTATCCCCTACTTTTTCAACAAGTTGCTCTCCCAAATGGCAGCCATGAAAAGCGTTTAGTCAGGCTGACTTGGAAGCTGACTCGTCTGAGATCTAACTTAAAGCTCAATCAAACCCAACTCATTCACTCTTATTTTTGAATATGTTGTCTTAGGTGTCATCAGTTTATTGACAGAAATTGGTGAATTCCATCACTTAATTGTTATCTAATTATCATTAACCATAACTTAATGTATTATGCATCACTAGTTCTAAAGTTTTAGGTTAAGAGATTAAAAACAATTTAATGAGCATTGAGGAGAAAGTTTTCTTCACCACTTGAAACATTGTTTTGTGACTTATATTTATAGGTATTTTCAATGGATCTCTGGTGCACTGTAGATTTTCTTGAAATTAATTTCTCTTTTAGCAGTCATTAACTCTAGGAATGCTTTAGACTAATCAAACAAACTCTCCTTGTCATCAGTAACACAGTTCACACCCTAGGACCTTTGGAATTATTTGTGTAATTAATTTGTTTAATCATTTTACCTAAAAGGAGTGCAAGCTTTATCCTAGGTTGGCAAGCAAGCAAAGCAACCCTGGAAATGACATGTTTATAACTTTATGGTTCCCCATTATAAGTAACATTAAGAGCATCTTTAGCAAACGCTCTATCTTCTCATCCTTAGTTATTTTGGCTAAAAAAAAGGAAAATTCTCCTTCCAACAAACTCCCTACTTGGCTCTCTATTTTGGAGAACCAACTTTTGACTCTCTACATCTAACAAAGAGGAGAAATAAAAAGAAAGAGAGAAATAGAGACATTTGGGAGGTTGGCGGGGTTGGGTTTCTACTTTTCTTTTTAATATATTTGATTTACAAGAGAAAAATAGAGTAAGAGAAAGATAAAATAATAATAAAATATTTCATATTAGCCAAAATAGAAAACATTGCGGGAGAAATCACCTTTTAAGTGGTTTGCTATAATAATTTTTTAGCTATTTTAGTTAGAATTTGACTAAAATTTGAAGACTCTTTTTGAGATGTTCTAATTTAACGGGAAGAAAACATGATGGGATTGGATTGGACTATCCATTCTCAAATATATCTATTAATTTGCAAAAATGGACGGTCCACATCATTTGCATGGTGGCCACCCAAAAACTTTAAGCAAATCAAAGTCTCATTCGGGGTCCCATGATGTGATACACGACACAATTAATGACCGTACTAAACCGTACGATTTTATTTGAGAGAGATCATAGCCATTCATTGTTAATTACGTATACTAGTAATTGATGGAAGAGGATAAACAAGGCCGCTAATGCATAGAGAAGAAGGAGAAAGAGTGCGTGAAGTGGGGGCCACTCACCATTTGATTTGAAGATCCTTCTTAGATTCGAATTTCATTTTTTTAACTTCTCTTGGTGAACTTTTTACCAATCTTTTGTATCCGATTGAGATCTGGGTGAAGGCACTCGTAGCACAAAGCAACCAAAGCATTAGGCCCTTGGGAGCCAATGGTGTTGCACTTTAACGTTAAGCATTCACTAGAAAAATGGTTGTTCTTTTGTTTGGATAATTTGGGATATATTACGTTATTAAACTGTTAATCTAAATAGTCGAGACGATGAGGGAAGGAGAGAAAAATATGCCAAGGAAACTTATAACATAGACAAAAACTAGATTAATTTATAGAAATTGTGTTATTACAATTACATGTTCGAGAGAAAACAAGACGAACAGGTTAAGCATGAGAGATTGGAAAATTAGGAAAATACTATGGAACTCAAACAAGGATGAATAAATATGATATATATATATATACATATGTTAATTACTTAACACTTTGAGTTTGTTTGATAATTAGTTCGTTTTTTATTTTTCGTTTTGTTTTTTTTTTTAAATAAAGAGGAAATATATGAGAGAGAGAGAGAGAGAATAAAGAGAAAAACGAGGAAGGTGGGATGGTGGAGGGAGATAATGCAATGTAACGTTGCACAAAATGAGAACTACACAACTAAAAGTAATTTCAAATGTGCTTGTTCTTTCAAGTTTTGT